ATTTAGAGCATGTATTTTTTCTGAAATTAAGAAAAAATAATAAAGAACAAAAATATTAAGTTTGCTAATATGCGGATCTCAATGTTCCTCTTGAAATGGAATACCTGTTTCCTGTGGTTTTTAATCTATGGAAATCCAATGCAAACATATATGCCAAGGTTACTATTTCCTACAGAGCATGAACCAATAAAAATAGGTAATACTTATCTCCGATCTTCATTAGACAGAAAAATACTTAACATTAGGCAATAGTACTCAAATCCAACTTTTAATAAATTTCAGATTCTGTATAAAATTTCCAAGTTGCTTTGAAAACATGTTTTGGAATGTGAGAACTTAACGAGAAAAATAGCATCCTCGTAGTAAAAATTTTGGCAAGCTTTCACATTAAAAGTTATTTTTAGCCTTGGCTGATGTGGCACAGTGGGTTGAGTGTCAGCCTGCAAACCAAAGGGTCATGGGTTTGATTCCTGGTCAGGGCACATGCCTGGGTTATAGGCCAGATCCCCAATTGGGGGCATGCAAGAGGCAACCACCAACACATCGATGTTTCTCTCTCTCTCTTTCTCCCGCCCTTCCCATTTCTCTAAAAATAAATAAAATCTTAAAAAAAAAGGTAAAACTCTGACCCTGACAAGGTAGCTCAGTTGGTTCGATCATCATCATGATATGCCAAGGTTCTGGGTTTGATCCCCAATCCAGGCACATACAAGAATCAGCCAATGAATGTATAAGTAGACAAATCAATGTTTGTTTCTTTCTCTTTCTCTCTTCCTCTCTCCCTAAAATCAATATTAAAAAAAGTAAAACCCTGACTAAGTGATAACTTAGTTTACAACAACACATACAATGTATCAATATCAATGCCCTGGCTTTGATACTGGACTATAATTAGGTGAAGATGTAACCACTGGAAGAAATTGGGTACAAGCATTGAGAACACAAGCAAAATCACCTTTATAACTACTGTAATTTGTGCTATAGTAAATATCCACCAAATAAGCTTTCTATTGCCTAAATTTTCATCTCTGACAGCATATACCAGACAATTTACCAGAGGGGACTAATTTCTAGCCTCAGGTGTCACAGTTCAATTTTATATAAGTAAAATTTCCTTCATTTGTAAAACAAGGATTTATCTGTTCTATCTATCTTACAAGATCAGAATGAGGATCAAATGAAACTTCATTTTCATAGCATTCTTTAACATTACAAATACAAAGTATATTTCATTTTATTCAAAAACTTGTTATTAGATTAACTATCCATAAGGCTACATGGTACACATACCACAGTCTATTACCCAACATAGAAAGATTCAAACATATTAAATTATACTTAAAAAGCTATAAAAAACCAATTATCTTCAAATGGTCAATTGAACAATTCCTTCAAATGTTAATTATAGTAATCTTTGTTTGAAAATTAGATAAAAATATATTTCTAAATTTCTATATGGCTAAATGACAAAACAAGATAAAAACTTTCACTGTACAGCTAAAAACTTTAAAATCTTTAGAAACAATGGTAACCAAACCACCACCAGCAGTTTTCCTTTGTACTCAAAATGTATCCGAATGATAACCAAAGAGCTATGCAAATTCACTAAAGTCCCACAAATCAGAGAACCAATAAAGAATATTTTTAATTACCTGACTAAGCTAAACTCTCTCTCTTAAAAAGATGTTTCTAACAAGTATTCCAAATATGTCTTGTAAGTTTCTTACAGTTAATTCTGAGAGGGGAGATGAAAAAAATAAATAAGCTTCAAGAAGCTGAAGTTTTGTGGAACAGCTTTATAGAATCCCTGTAAACATACCCTTCATTCCTAAACTCATTTGTACTATTATCATCATTCTTAAATTTAAAGTTACTTGGTAAAATAATCATTAGAGCTACTCCTCAAAAATAATCAAAAACAAAAAAAAACATTTAAACCATATAGTTTTATTAATTCAATAAAAGTACAAACTCGTCCTATATTATGTGTTCACTCTTCTGAGGTTTGGATGTCGGCTGCACCTTTAAAAACATGTCTCAGTTATAAAAAACAAATCTAATAATTGTACCTTAAGATTCTGGCTTCTGGTTATTTTTAAACAAAAGACTGTATGATTTGCAGAGAGATCACAGAATATAGAAAAATAATTTATTTCTCCTTAAATTACAATAGATAACCTACCTTCCCTTTAATAAATCCTAAAGGAGCCCTGGCTGGTGTGGCTCAGTGAATTGAGAGCCTGCCTGAGAACTGAGAGGTCACTGGTTCAATTCCCATTCAGGGCACATACCTGGATTGCAGGCCAGGTCCCAGTTGGGGGTATGCAAGAGGCAACCTATGCAAGAGGCAACCGATTGATGTATCTCCCACACATCGATATTTCTCTCCCTCTTTTGCCCTCTCTTCCCCTCTCTCTAAAAAAATAAATAAATAAAAATCTTAAAAAATATCCTAAAGGATAAAATGTCTAGCTTTCTGGGAATGACAATCCTTCTCATTTTCCACTAACTTTTTATTGTAAACCTTAAAGTCCTTTTTGTACATTTCTTCCAAACTGCCACTTTTCAAGGAAATCCAAGGTGCCATGAAAAAAATCTTGTAATTACTGGAAAAAAACAAACTTATCATACAAGTTTTACATTTGTTTAACTTGTTTTGTAAAATGCCAATTACAAATCATAGCACATAAGCTCTTAAATTAGACATTTTACCAAAGTTATTAGATTTTTAAAAAATTCTAAGATAATAACAAATTGGAGATTAGTTCAATAAATAAAATAGTAACCTATTCTTACATTGTTACTTATGCATGCTGAGAGTATAGATAATCCAGGTTGCTTGCATCTGCCTTTGGATAATGGCTTTGACTTTATATATGTGAATGTTTATGTATATTGTGATTCATATTTAAAGATAAAAATCTAAAGAAATATAAATGCCTGTAATAAAATTAGACATACTCACTTTTAAAAGCTTAGTTTCAAACACATTTAGCAATAAAAGATAACACCTAGAGTCCAAGTATAATTGCTAAATATCTAAGTATTACATGAGGAAAGAATTACTACTTTATATCTTAAAAAAAAAGAATTAACATCAAAGATGCACTTTGAACTCCAGAATGGAGATCTCCTATTTTATGCTAGTCATTTTCCTACAAAGTGTAAAGAGATATGGCAGCCAGGTATATTAGAGATTGTACAAATAGGAGTGGAGTTACAATATTAGTTACCAGGCTTCACAGGAAGACAGACAAGCAGCTAAAATGTTAGAAGGTGAGAGACCTAACTCAGAAGATGACTGACTGGATCAGAAAAATAAGAAGTTTTTTATAAATGGAGCTAAGGAAACATAAGCAAGGAAAATAAAAAGGAAACTAAAAGCCAACAAGAGGTATCTGCAGTTCACACAGGAAGTAAAATTAAAATCAAAATGAAGAAAACAGGAGTATAGAAAAAGTAAGCAGCAACACCACAAACTCTCAAGAGTTAAAGCCTTTAAGAATAGTTTCAAGGGCAGGATCACATCTTATTTTTACTTCCAGGAATATCACCCCATTGTTGGCAAACAGTGGCTTAATGTTCCTGAGATTATTTCACCTATAAAGAATGTATCAGGCACAATTTGCTATACGTGTACATCAAGTTCCCCAGAGCACCTAAACTGACCTCTTCCTGAATCTGAGGATAGATGATACATTAACCAGATCATAATCACTGAATGCAAGCCTAAGATACTTATCTATAAGGAGATGATGTGTCACATTGTATTTTGTCACAATCACCATATTTTAAACATAAAGCACAGTACAGTACAAATAATACATGCCTTCCAAGAGTTTCAGTTTGAAATGAAAACTGCTATAGAAGAGTAACTGATAACATATCATTCTGACATACACAACGCTTTGGAAAATTAACTCACAAAACTGAAAGTATTAATAGTGTAAGTAATTTTGCCATAAAAGAACTTCTAATACTTTAATAGCCAAACCCACCTTCTATTACTTTCAAACAAAAGTCTGGTTTATCCACATAGGTAGTACAAAACTATTGCTATATTCAAGAGAACTATATTTTCTATTGCATCTCAATGAAATCTCCTAACTATTAATTTCCTCAACTCAGTAATTATGTACAGAGAAGACCAATGTTTCTCAATATTTAATCATATTGAGTAAAATTGATTTCTATCCTAGCAGGCAAAAAAAAGAACCAGAAGATACAGAATATTTTATAAAAGTAAGCAAAGTATTAATAAACTATTTGACAATGAGATGCAGAAAGCCACGTGGTACTCTACTGGGTTTCCTTAGAAGCTTATAAAAAGCACAGTGTTATATGTTTATAACAAACATATCTATTACATAATATAAGATCTTATAATGGGGAAAATATAGATGTCTTAACTATCTTAGTGAAATTGTTTTGTTCTTCAATGCATGCTCTAGACAGGCAATCTAATATTTTGGTAAATTTGGGAAAATTAAGTCTGAAAAGTTATTGAGTTTATTTTATTTTTTTAATCTCCTACCACAGACAGCTGGAGGCAAGATAACTGAAGGATACCAACATTATACAAAAGAAATAAGGCTAACTTTTAAAAAACTGAATATTTGAATGAACACAGGATAAAAGACACACTAATAAGATCCAGAAATATACGGAAAAGTTCCTTTCCTTGAAAAATGTCCTGCATTTTTCTCACTGTTAATAAATAAATGCATTCTCTTATTATCACCTGCTGGAGTCCATTTTTAGATGCTCGGGTCAGGGTCAGCATATTATTTCTACAGTAACTTGTTCAGGAACCAAATAAATTGATAAAATTTTCATAATATAACCATATGACAATGACCACAAGCCAGATATATTATTGCCACCTATTATTTTATAGAGAGCAATTGTTAAAAATAAATATACGTGAAAGTTCCAACAACAAAGCTACTCAACACCAGTCCTCTCTCTAACTGAAGATACATATTTGTGGCCTTACTGACCTTTGTGCTTTCACCAGATTTGTTTCAGGATTATCAGATTTCCACAACATTTTATTTGGTGGTGAAGGATCTGTGGTGTCTCACATTTTTTCATGTCTGTGATCACTGCTACTGGGGTGAGTCTTTGATGAATACTAAAGAACCTATAAAAACACCAACCCTCTCAAAAAACAGAAAAAAAATTCAAACTTTAAGTGTAGTTTCCTAAATTCATTTTAGCATAAAACTTGGTGTTTTAACTTCATTAAGTTTTACGAATTTATCTCAATAAAATTAAAATTTCCATGTTCAGTAATGCCTTTAAATTATTCAGACAAACCTAAATTCATACAAGCCTAAAAGTTCATACAAATCATAATACTTTATGTTAAAAGAAAAAAAACCCTCCAGGCCATAATCTTCAAAATACATAAAATCAAATACATTGGCATATTAATTCTTCAATAAATTTTTCTGCAGATTAAAAAGTTTAATCTTAAAAAAACAACCTGAGTTCTATTGTACTCTATTTCTGGTCTACAACTGATGCAAAGATACAAATATAATAGGCCTAAGCATGTTCCTGCAAACCTACAAAAAAAAAGAATCAGTTTCTCCAATTCTCTGACTCAAAAAAAAGCAGTTTAAACCTACCTTACCTACTCTGAGAGATGTGGGAAAAAATTTAAAAGTATAAAAAAAGATGGCTGATATTTCTTCTTTTCTTAAAGATGTTATTTATTTTTGGAGAGGAAGGGAGGAAAAAGAGAGAAACATCCATGTGAGAGAAACATTGGTAGGCTGCCTCTTGTACGTGCCCCAACCAGGACTGAACTCACGTGCCCTGACAGTGTCCTGACCTGGACACAGCCAACAACCTTTGTCTTTGAGAGACAACACCCAGGCGACCAAGCCACACTGGTTGGAGCTGCTGGCTGACATTTCTAGCACAACATAATGAAACTTAATGGAACACCCTCACAATAATGATTAAGTTTTATCCTAACACATATTGAAAACAACCATGATAGACCAGTCCTATATATGTGTAATTCATTATGTGTTAGAGAGGCAGATTCCATAGGGTTTAATCTGATATCCTAATGTCATGGACAATGGTTTACACATCAGGAGACCTAGGGTTAACTTGAGCTGTAACTCATGCCAGCCAGTTAACAGAATTATCAGTTTAGAAACCTGCTCTCCTATCTGTGAAGTGATTAGATATAAAAATATTTACTTCTAGTGTCATCTGATAGTTAACAGCCCTTTATGAGATCCCGCCCCGAAAACAGGTGCCACCTGTACAATAATTTTTAAAAAACTTTACATGCAGCAACTTAAGTAACAAAAAGGGACCAGCATATCTAGAACCACTAACATTAGAATGAGTTATCCAAGTATCCAAAGATTTCATTTCCTACAAAATCAAAAGCACTATCTCTCACTAGAGTAAGGCAACTATTTGCACCCACTCCCTCCCCCAAAGAAAACTAAATCGGGAAGAGACAGTGGTTTACAACACACTTAGAGTTGTAAATCAGCTAGTCATTTCTTCCCAGGCCTTTCATTTAATTTTAATACCTTAACATTAACTTTTATTTCCCCAATACAATAAATACATGTTTTTCAGAAAACACCTATCACTTTACCCCATCGACTCTTTCACACTCATAATCAAGTCAGGTTCTTTCTGGCTGAGAATGATTCTTTCCTTAAAAAACTGAATTTCCTCCACTCACCCGTCAAAATCAGTCATTAAACCTATTGGGTTTAGTGAAGAAATAGACCCAAATATAGAATTCTAAGGGGACCACAGGTGCTAGTTTAGGATCTGTTGCACCGAAGCGCCGGTGGCGACGTGTGAGGGCGGCGCCCGAACACCAGATCCTCCCTTCTTCCTCAGTCCCCGCATCCATCCCTCTAACCCGGCTGCGCTTGGTACCTGGTAAGACTGCAAGTCCTTTCTCTGGTCGTGACAGCTGAAAAACAGGAAGCGAGACGGCGACACGAAACACCTTGAGGGGAAGGAAGAAAACGCTCCGCAGCACCCCTCCCGCGGGAGACCCACCAGGCGAACCGGCGGTGAGAGGCACACGCACACTCGCCGCGTTTACACGCTGCGACCCGGTCCTGCGCGCCCTCAACGCTAGCCGCTGCCTCGCTCGCTCGCGCTCCGCCCTGCCGAAGCCGCAGCTGGGTTAAGAAGAGAAATGGCGGCTTCGCCAGCAGCGGATTAAGACCATCAGGGACCCCCCACCCCCACCCCGCTGCTGCCCTCGCCGCTGCCACCCCCCACCCAGCCCGAAAGGAAAAGCCAATTTACCCATCGTGGAGTCTGTGCTGTTTCCTGGCATATATTAACCCTCGGTGCACGACCTGCCAGTGTCTGTCAGGGACCGGAAGGCGCAGCCGCGAGAAGCAGGCGGGCGGTAGCACTGGCACCAGGGTCCGGCGCGCCCTCTGCGACTCCCTCCGTTACTGGCGCTGGTGCCGCCCCCCCCCGCCCCCACCCCCCGCCACCTCCCTCGGTCCACAGCCCGCAGTGAGGCACCACCAACACCGCGGAGCGGCCAACCTGGGGGAGGCGGCGCAACAAGGCGCGTTCCCTTTCAGCCCAGCGGAGAGCGGCGACTGCCTCCAGGGTTTTCTCCTCCAGCTCGGTCGCCTCCCGCCGTCCTCACTCACAGGCGCCGCTTGGCCTTTTTCTTCCCCAATCGCCACCGCTGCGGCTCCACCAACTTCCTCGCGGCAACTCCGAAGCTGTGGCCTTGGGCAAACCTCAAGAGTTTGCACCACGCCCCTCCTCTGCCACCCTCGGCCCTCCCCTTCCCCGCGTAACTCCCGCACGCTGCCTACAGCAAACCTCGGTGCTCCCTCAGCTTTTCCTCTTCCTCTGGAGACCTGGCTCCCTCCATCGAGACCTGTCAGTTCTTTCCGTTCGCGGCTGCTTTTCATCACGCTCAGGTGGCCACTGCAGTCTCTGGTTAAGGAGACTCTGGCCTGGGGCCGGGGTGCGCGGGGAGGAAGCGCCTGGGGCTGGCGGTGGGACTCCAGAGAAGCCCTCTGGGACTAACAAGGAAGGCTGAGGCTACCGCGCCTGCTCTGAGATTAGAACTGAGGCAGGGAGGATGCCCTGGCGGAGCGCTGGGACACTTTATTCAGACAGTGGGGATCTGAGAAGACGGTAGGTTATGTGCCCTAAAAACCATCTTAACATCTCATCTCAAGCATACCTTTTTATAAAGACAAGAAAACTGTAGGTAAGGGATTTGGAAAAAGGTTAATTAGATAAAGGTTGCAGTCTAAGGCAAGTTTCTTAGTATTTCTTTACCTACTGATCAACAGTTCTGTGTCTGCATCTCAGACGTTTCCTCCCTGGAACACTGGCTCACATACCTTCCCCATAGCTTACCATCTGCTTGCAGACCCCTTGGAGCACAAAGGTTGAGTTTCTTGTCTCGCTGGTTGACCTCCTAGAGTCATATAGGTCACGTATTACAGTCCTTGGAACAATACCTTTCCACCTGTAATAATCACTTAAGCCTATCAACTATAACTAAATCTAAAATCTTTATCTTGTGAGTTCCTCTATCAGAGCTAATTGTATGTTGTGCTCTGTTGTGATCTGAAGCCCTCCACCAGGTGTCTTGGTTCTAGGGCTTCTTGGGACAAACTGCAGGGCAGACCAGCGTCACACCTTACCTGTGACTGGCCTTAGTCTACCTGTTAGGAGCTACAAAGCAAATCACAGTTGGAAGTTGACTGTGCTGGGCCTAGATCTATTTGTGGGTGGGATCAAGCTGTGAGTCAACTATGGTTTCCAGCTGTACCAGGTCTGGGGTAGGTCAGCATGAAAAACCCAAGGTACTCTGAGACCTCCCATCACCTGACAGCTGACCACAAGGCTCAGACACTAAAAGAGCCTCAGACAGTACTAGAGTTTTGTGAGGGAGATTCTCAGAGAGTAACCAGGGTCTGGCAAATGGTGTTCACTAGGTTAATACAGGTTCAAACTCAGTTTCAGTGCTGGGTCTGAAGCCACTCTGGGTACACAATGACAAGCTGCCACCGTTCTGAAACTTGCAGACCCAAGTGGTGGCACAGGGGTCTCAGGATTTCGACAGGGTGGAGCAAGTAGAGTTCATAAGGCTAATGCAAACTAAGATTTGGCTGTGTGAAAGGGGGGGAGGGGAGAACTAGATGAAAGAAGGTGAAGGGATTAGTCAAAGAACATACATACAGGACCCACAGATACAGACAACAGTGTGATGGCCAGAGGGAAAGGAGGGGTAGGGGCTGGGTGGAGGTGAGCAAAGTGGGGCAAAATGGGGACATGTATAATAGTGTCAACAATAAAAATAAAGAAAAATAAACTATAGAAAAAATTTGGCTGTATGGAATGAGGTCTCAACCCAGGAATGATGGTGCCCATGAGCCATGTGGGAGCATGGCCCTCCCCTTAAAGCCATGCAACTCAGATTCACCCACTGAGCTTGATTGGAATAACTCTTTTTTAAAAAGTTTTTCTTTTTAGACAGACTGCAGTGCAAGCCCAGGCTGTTACTATTGAGGGAGCCTCGGGTGGTGTGCAAATTGGGTAGGATGGGGCTTTAGGGAGACGTCAGGGTGGAGCTCGTGTAGTATGCCAGGCTAATGGCTGTGTGGTAGAAAGGGCTCCATATAGGAAAGTTGGCACTTGTCCACTGTGCAGGAAGTCAGCCCTCACCCTGAAGCTGCACAACTCAGTTTTTCCCTACCTGTCTTTGGCACCCCCTGAACTTGACAAGAACTCTGACTCTAGTCATGTTTTAGTTTGGTAGGGTAGAGCTAGTGTACCTTGCTAGGCTAATGCCTGTCTGGGGAAAAAGCCTAACCTAAAAAAAATGGTGTCACCTTGGCCAAGTGGCTCAGTTGCCTGGAGCATCATCCTGTCACTGAAAGGTTGCAGGTTTGATTCCTGGTCAGGGCAAATACTTAGGTTAATGTTTCTCATTCACATTGACATATCTCTCTCTCCCCACTCCCCACCCTTCTTCTCTCTCTAAAAGCAACAAACATCCTCAGGTAAGGATTAAAAAAAATGTTTAAAAGAAAAAAAAAACATAGTGTCTGTGGGGCCATGGGGGAGGAGGACTCAACACAGGGAAGTTAGAGACTGTTCCATCAGCCCTTGCCCCAAAGCCACACCACTCACTTTCTTCCTGTATGTCTCTGGCTCCCACAAGCCATCGTCTCTTGCCCGAGGTAAGTACCTGCAAGCATTTGTTTCTTGGCCTTTTAAGAAGATGCCTGGGTTTCCAACAGCCTTCCTTCTCACCTGGATGGATGAAATCTCTGATTCTCACAACCTCATATTATATGGATTCCTCTCCCAAGCACTGGTGCTTTGGGCTGGGAAGCCCAGTGTGCAGCTGAGACTCCTTGCTTTTAAGGGGAGACATCTGCTACTGATATATTCCTACAGATTCTCAACTGCCACTTGTAGGTGTCAGGCAAGCCTGTTTTCTTTTGTTTTCACCATCTTACCATTCTCAGTGTGGCTGCTTTATATCCTTAGTCAGAGGACTTCTGTTCTGCTAGTCTTCAGATGGTTCTACAGGTTGCTTGCTCTGTGATTTAGTGGGAGGAGGTGAGTGCAGCTTCCACCTACTCCACCATCTTGGCCAGAACTATTCTAGTTTAAATTGAAATATATAAGAGAATGTGACTGTAAAGAGTATTGAAAGTTTAAAAGGGTCTGATTTAGTAAACTGGTATGTTTAGACATTGATATATAATAGTGTTTATATCCTAAAGATTTGTTGTTATTGCTTTGCTTTGTTTAGAGTGTGAAATGCTTGAAAATGTTTGACATATTGCATTTGTGTTTATGGCTTAAAAATTTAAGGGAAATTATTACTTAATAAAGTTGTATATGTTTGGGAAAGATTTAAACAAATTTAACCTTTCATTGTTATAAACTGAGCATTAATAGCAAGAAGAAATGAAGGCAGGTATTTTTAATATTTTAATGTAAAGTATTGTATAGTTGTATAAACAAACTAACATTTGTAAATCAAGCATAAGGGTTTATCACAAATTTGACTTTTAATTTCAAGTTTAGTAAATTGAATGTGAATTTAAAAAAATTAATATGTTCTCTTTTTGCTTAGTTAATGTCTAAATGCTTCTGGGTTTCAGGTTGTATACCTTTCTATAATGAAGGCTTCTATATGGGTTATAGTCAAATTGCATTTGACTGGGAGTAAAATAAAGTGGCTTAAACATCTAATGGATTTATTTGTCTCACAAGATAACAAATGCAGAGATGGTATAGTAACTTAAAGATATTTACATGAACCCAGAATTCTTTGATGCTTTTGCTGTATTGTCGTAAGAGTGTAGTGTGGCCTTTGTCCCTATGGTCACTAGATGGCTGTTATATCTAAAGGTATTATACCAAAATTCAGGCAGAAAGAAAAAGACCAGGGACAAAGGGCAAAGAACAAAAGCCTTCTAGTGAGACTTTGTCATTTTTACTCAGAAAAGATAGTCTTGGCTGGTGTGTCTCAGTGGATTGAGTGCCAGCCTGCAAACCAAAGCGTTCTGGGTTCCATTTCCAGTCAGAGCACATGTGTGGGTTTTGGGCCAGGTTCCCAGCAGGGAACATGCAAGAGGCAACCATACATTGATATTTTCCTCTCTCTAAAAATACATATTTTTTTTAAAGGAAGAAAAGAAAAGATAGTGTTCCCCTGTAACTTTTCACCAGAAATGTATCACATGGTCACTTCTAGCTACAGCGGAGTCATTGAGTATTTGCTCTATGTAGACTAAGGCAAAGGAGAAGAGAGTTGGAATCGTTGCTGAATGAACTAATGTCTCTGATCTCTAAGACTGGGTTAGATGCCCCTTTTATGTGCCTCATATTTCCCTGTAAATGAGGACACCAACTGGAATACCTTGAATATTATTGTATAATCAGTGCCAGTTTGAAATGGATATAAAAATGCAAAGTGTGTATTCTGCCTATTGCTTTTTCCTACCTTGTATGCTGCCCATATATATTGATAAGTGACTAGATTAAGAACTCCTTGAAAGCAATATATTGCATATATGATCATTGCCCAGAACCTTTTCTTAAGGAGCTTGGTGCTGAAAGTGTGGTCTTAGACTGGCAGCTTCGACATCAGTGAGCAGCTTGTCAGAAATGTAGAATATCAGGCCTTTCCCAGATCTATGAATCAGAATCTGCATTTTAACAAGATCTCTAGGTGATTTGTTTGAACATTAAAGTTTGAAAAAAGTACTTCTTTATGGAATCAAGTTATGCCAGCTCACCATCTCGACTTTCTAGTTATATGAACCAATACATTTATTTTGTGCCTGAACTTGTTTCTGCCATTTGTAATTGAAAGAGTTCTGACTAGTCCAGGCAGTAACCATATATTATTAGGTGCCTAATTCTCTACAGTGATTCATACATTTTTATTGAATTTAATTTATGATTGAATCAATCATCTTTTCATATGCATATGCATGGATCACAAAAAAATATATCAGGAACAACAAATGTATTCAGTTCTCATATTAACCCTGGTCAATTGTTAGTGGCTCCTGGACATTCTCATTGTGTTGAGGACTGCAGATTAGCATAAGGTCTCAACAAGAAAGAATACACTTACTGTTGACTGATAGTCACAAGCTATGAGCATTTGGTGACACTGATGCCACCCTCCAATCTCAGAAGCAGATTCACATTTCATAGTGTAGGTGATGGTCAGGTCAGCTCCAATATTGCTCCTTACTTACTGATTCAACAATTATTTATTAAGATTTACTATGTTTCAAGCACTGTACTGGATGCAAGGATAAAGTGGTACAAGACACATGTGGTCTCTGTTCAGCCAAAATTTATTGTCAATTGGGGGAGACAGACATTAAATAAACATTAAATGTACAAATAACTACTTGACTACTAAGCTGTGGTAAAACTTTGAAGGAAAAATACAAAAAGTTACAGAGACGTAAAATAGAAACCCAATGAAGTCTAAAGAGCAGATGGCTTCCATGAACAAGAAGCTTTTTAGCTGAATCTTGAAGGATGAGTAAGGAGTTAGCTCAGAGAAGAGGCAGTATGAAGTTGTCCTGGGCAAAGGACAGCTTGTAGAAAAGCTCTGCATTTTGCAGGAGTTTGGCATTTGAGGAAATACAAGAGGACCAATATGGCTGGAGCATAGAGTACATGCAAGACAGTTAAGAGAGCTCAAGGCTGGAAAATTAGGCAGGGGCAGAACTCAGAGTCTCCTTATAACTATTGCCTAGGGATTATAAATCCCGAGGAAAGACTGGCCAGATTCACATGAAACCCATTTCTAATTAGAAAGTCAATTTAGCAATTTATTCCAAAGCTTACTTCCAACATTATGAGCATTAGTTGCTCAGGAAGAAAATGGAACTAGAGAG